CCTGTGCTCTGCTAAGCTTGTTCTAAGTAGGTGCTTTAGACCACTGAGCCATCTCACCAGCCCCATGGTTTTCATTTTTTAAAATGTATTTTTTTATGAATTTAGGGTAGGGTCTACTCTACAGGGTATACAGGGTTTCACAGCATAGATCAGACTCGTAGTGAGTCTCCTGTTTTCAGCCTTCCAAGTGCTGGCTGGGATTACAGGGGTGCACCACCATGCCCAGTCTCAATCCCCCAGTCTCAGTTGCGGTCTCATCGGGGATCCTTATGCAGGTGCGGGGCCAACACAGCACACCAGGGATTCCCCTAGCTGTTGCCCTCTGCCGAAGCAGGCACTTTAATTTGTTGAGCTATCTGGCCGACCCTGGTATGGTCTTTAGAAATGAAAAATAAATGTGACTTAAAGAGTTGATGAGTTAAGAAATTTAAGGAACCAGTTTAATTTATTTATTTTTTAAATTTTATTTGTGTGTGTGTGTGTGTGTGTGTGTGGCCAGCTCAGCCCACCAGGGGGCAGGGCTGGCTGGCGTGTGGTGCTGGGGGATTGAACCGCGGTCCCTGATGTGCTTTTAGTTGTTCTAAGTAGGTGCTTTAGACCACTGAGCCATCTCACCAGCCCCAAGGAACCAGTTTAAAATGGCAAGTTTTCACTTGGGAGGCTGAGGAAGGAGGATGGTTGGGAGTTGAGGAAGGAGGATGGTTGGGAGTTGAAGACCAGCCTGGGCTACATGTGAGCTCAGGATCAATCTGAACTGCATAGTGAGACTCTGTCTCGTAAAAAGACCAAAAAGGGGGCATGTTTTCACGCTTTTATGTATTAAACATAACTGGTTTTATTTCTGTATTATTTCTTTCAGAGTTTCTTGAAGTTGGCAAAAAGCAGCCTGCCCTGGACGTTCTTTATGATGTTATGAAAAGTAAGAAACATCGGACATGGCAGAAGATACACGAGCCCATTATGTTGAAATACTTGGAACTTTGTGTGGATCTTCGTAAGAGCCACTTGGCTAAGGAAGGATTATATCAGTATAAGAACATTTGTCAGCAGGTACAAACAATTTGGTTTTATATTTTGATAACAGTTTCTGAAAGAGTATACCTTTCACAGTGCATTTTCTATGAGAAGTTCTTTGAACATTCATGGGTCATTGGAAAAAATAGTCCCTTTTTCTCCTTGTTTAGGTAAATATTAAATCTTTAGAGGATGTTGTTAGGGCATATTTGAAACTGGCAGAAGAAAAAACTGAAGCTGCTAAAGAAGAATCCCAACAGATGGTATTGGATATAGAAGATCTGGATAATATTCAAACTCCTGAGAGGTATGTGAGTTCAACATTTAATAAGTACTTTGTTGGTTAACTCAGTGTTTTTCTTTTCTTTTTTTTTCTTTTTTCTTTTTTTTCCCCAGAAGCGGGGGTTGAACTCAGGCCTTTGTGCTTGCCAGGCAAGGTCTTACTCTACTAAGCTATCTCCCCGGCCCCAACTCAGTGTTTTTCTTATCCGCACTTGAAGTAATGTTTTTCTTTTTTTTCTTTTTGGTGGAACCAGGGATTGAACTCGGGCCCTTGCACTTGCCAGGGAAGTGCTTATTCTACTGAGCCAGCTCCCCGGCCCTGAAGTAATGTTTTTCAGGAAGAATACTTTTAAATTTTAGATGTGTAGTGCCCCAGACAGTTATGTAATAAAGATCAGTAATTCAGGTGGGATAGTAAGTGATGTAGTGTACAGCAAATTTGGAAGAATTAAAACTGTCTTATGATGATCATTGTTTTTTGGTGTTTTGTTTCTTTTTTAAGTATTGGAATCAAATCAGTGGGCCTCACCCCATCCTTTCCATTATCTTGCCTCACTTGACATGGTTTTCACATGGTTTAATATGCAGTAGGCAGTCACTGTTCTGTACTCAGCTAGGCTTTTTTTTTCCCCCCAGCTAGCCTTGGCTTAATGTGTCGCTGCTTTGACTTTCTGTTACACGTGCTTTTTAAAAATTTTTATACAATATACACTGTAGCATTTATGTTTATGTGTTTAATTGGTTGTATAATATTGTGATTTAAGTAACAATAATGATAGTTAAAAATAGGAACATTTGATTCAGTGTCATCTCAATCTCATTATACCTGAACATTTTAGGTGTTTATCAATTATGCCTTATAGCAAGGAAAATAAATGTGTGAAATAACTGTACAAGTTTGTATCGTATTTTTATCTTTATATATTTATTTATAAAACATTGTGGGGCTGGGGAGATGGCTCTGTAGAATAAGTGCTTCCCTGGCAAGTTAAAGGGTCTGAGTTCAATCCCCGGTTCTGCCAAAAAAACCCAAAACAAAACAAAAACACATTGTATCAGATTTTTCTTAATTGTGCAGTGGACACAAAATACAAAATGCATAGTTTTTTATTTATTTTTATTTTTTTTGGCGGAACTGGGGATTGAACTCGGATCCTTGCATTTGCCAGTCAAACGCTTATCCTACTGAGCCATCTCCCCGGCCCCAAAATGCATAGTTTTAATAATTGGAAATTGTCTGTTGTTGTATGTTATTTTATGTTACTGGATTTCTTATCTTTTGGGGCCTTTTAGTTAACCAGTCAAGTCAGTTATTTGGAGTATTAGTTGGGACTTTTTTTTCATAATTTTATTGAGAAACAAATAGCAATGAGACAGTTTAAAATCAAATTGGGGGGCTGGTGAGATGGCTCAGTGGTCTAAAGCACCTGCTTAGTACAAGCTAAGCTAAGCAAAAACACAGGAACCACGGTTCAATCCCCCAGCACCACATGTCAGCCAGCCCCACCCCCCTGGTGGGCTGAGCTGGCCACACCCACACACACCCACACACGCAATAAATAAATAAATATTAAAAAAAAAATAAAATCAAATTGGTAGAACAGTTTCAATAATTCACACATTGCATACATTCTTCCTAGTGGTTAATTGCTGTACAAGATGCGGACATGATATCCTATTTACAAACACTATTAGAACAAATCCCT